AGCTCTACGTATTTTCATGAATCATGTACAACAAGAGAAATATAAAACTGGAGCTCTCCTTGTTAGCTTTTTCAGCCACTGTATGACTCAGTCATACTAGAAAGCTTTCTGCACCTGTAACATGTATGCTATTCACAATGTGCACAGTCCAAACACAGACATGAACCTTAAATTTCCTAGAGCTCTTCAATTTTAGCACATCTCCTTCTCCCTCAGAAACAGGTAACTCTTGCAGGGCCACTCCTTACTGTTTCTAGGTAAAAATTTTTGTGCCTCTCTACTTCCAGACATGCAAAGTAGTTTCAGGAAGTTATTACAATGGCTTGATGTACTTGGAGCTCACTTCTCTATAACATACCAGATGGCCTGAAGGCACCAATTGCTCAGGACGAAGGAGTAAGACCATCGAAGAAGTGAGCCGTTAATGCTGCAAATTTATACAGAAGAATGATCTCTTATGGCTGGGGTTCAGGATGTTTCTCAAGCATTTCTACATCTATGACTTTAAATGTGCAGATGTAAATTGTTATCCTAAGAGTAAATTCATATCTTTAGTTGGATCAGCATTATGCAAAGTTGGAATCTCTAATGCTTATGTTTAAATTTCTGTTTATAAATACAGAAGAGAAATATCCTATTCAAATGTTATAGACTAAAAACTACCGTTGTATTGAGAGTTATATATTTTTTTTCAGTATACAATGAAGGCTACCATGAGCCCCTAGTCCATGGACCTTGCTAGTAAGTCATTACTGACCAGAAGTGGGATGGCCATGAGGATGCCTGATTAGGTTATATATAAGCTGTGAAACGTTACCTGCTTTTAAAGGTTGTATGTTATGTGGTCATTGCATTAATATTCTAAGTTTTGTTCATGTTATCTTAATATCTAAAAATCAAATCTTTATATAGATAAAATTTTAGAATTGTTACTCCATTATTCAATTAATTCACTGAATCGTTCATAAAATATTCAGTGGGGATTTATTTAGGTGCTAGAGGTACAGAGATAAAAGGGAACAACAACTCCTCTGAGCTCGTGGGGGTTGCCTTCCAGGTTTTGTTTTGTATAGAGCTTAGATGACAGATGGCCAGGCACAGTGACTTCACAGGGACTCGCTCAATAGTTTATATTTGTGTGGCTTAACAAATAGTACTCTTTAATCTTCTTCTTAACTATTTAACCTTATATGCTCTTTTTATTAAGTTTATTGGTATACCTTCGGTATACAATATGGTTCACCTTAAATTTTTAAGTCATGCCACCTGAACATTAGTATGTATTAAGGCATTTTCTTAAGCTTCAAATAATATGCTTAACCCTTTGGGAACAACTCTCAATTGTCTGTCCTCAGAGTTCATTTTACTTCACTGTTCACATTTTGGGACAGCTGATAACTTTCTCTTTGAAAAATATCTTCTCAGACCTGATTTGTCTTGGTTATATTTCTACTTCAATTGACTTCCTCAAAGTTTTGTTTGTTGCTTTCTCCTCATCTCTTCAAGTTCCAAATATTGTAATGACCTAGGTTTTATTCTTCAACCTCTTCTCTATTCTATGTAACTTTCTGGTGTTACCATGCCCTCAGTATCACTATTTGATAATGTCCAAATAGCTATCTCTCCTGGACCCATTTATATCTCTGCTTGGATCTCTGCTGAGCACTCAAACTGAAAACATGACCAAGTTCAAATCCAAGGCTATTTTGCTTTCTGCTTCCTGTTGCTATATTCCTCCTCAGATAAATGCATGGCTTGCTGTTTCATTTTCTTTGGGTCTGTAAACAAATGCCACCTCCTCCAAGATCCCTTCCTATGTCATTCTACAGAAAATAACCTCTATCTTCAGTAGCCTGGCCTCAAGGATTCCCTATCCTTCCTATCTAAGTTTATATTTCTCCTTAATAGTCAATACAAGCTGACACATTACACACACACGTGTATGCACTTCCAACCAAATATAATAAGTTCTATGAGGGTAGGGACATAGTGACCAACTATGTTATTAGTATAATATAGTCTCTGGAAAGTAGATGGAACTTAATGAACATTTAATTAATGACTGACTTTAAATAATTCCTTTTATATCTCTGTCTGTGTATCTGGCTTCTACACTTTTCATTTGGCACTGCTTTGGGATAGGAATATTAAATTTGAGTGAAAAAAGAACATTTGTAAACACCTAACATCTAAACTTGCTTTATTTTCACCACATCTAGTTTAAAACATGAAAACATCTTGGGATATTAGAAATATACATTTCTCAAAAACCCAATAAGTACTTTCAGAAGTGGAAAAAATTAGTTTAGGTGAGTTTGTGAGAAATAAAACAACAGACCCAATAATCTAGAAGAAAAGAAAAAAAAATCGGTGACAATACTTTTTAGCTCTGATGGTATATACACTATAGGAAACAGTAAGAATTCAGTTTAAACACAAAATTTTATATAAGATTGTTCTCAAATAGCAGACAGTAGATTGAAAAAGAAACTCAGTTCTATGAAGAGTCTGTAAAGCATAGTGACTTTACATAGACATTGAAAGTTTTGTTTGACTTAGCCACGCCTCAAATGGTTGAACTATAAAGTAGGATTGGATAATAACCATGACATATGCTCATTAAAAGAATGAAATTAGAAGACAAACATAAATTCTTGAACACAGAGTGAAGATACTTAGAGCTCAAACACTGAAGAATGGTCCCTGTAAAATTTAACTAAGTACAATATGATAAATCATTAAAAATATTTTTCTGAAAGTATTTAAAAAATAGCTACTATAGTCTGTTTTGTGCTGCTATAGCAGAACATGTGAGACATGAGTAACATAATCAATAGCAAGGTATTGGCTCACAATCCTGAAGGCCAAGTCATGTAGTAACAAGGCGCTGGCATCTGGCCAGGTCCTTTCAGCTGCATCATCACAGGATAGACAGGGAGAGGCCAAAGAGCAGAGGAGGGGCTGAAACTGCCCTCTGAAAACAACACCCATCCCCTGAAGAGAATAAAATCCTCATGACTTAATCAGCTCTTAGAGGTCCTACTTCTTTCTACTGTCATAATAATAATTAAATTCCAACACGAGATGTGGAAGGGACAAATATTAAGAAACAGCACCATGCTTATTGAAAATATTTAAAAATTTTCAACAATGGCATTTGAAATTGGTCATTTGTTGAATATTTCTAACACTCCAAGAACTGCATAACATATGAATGTTTTCCACTTGTCAGCTCTGTCAATTTTCTAAACAAATGTCATCTTCTCCAGGGCTTCCCATAAATTGAAACTTTCTCCTAAGCAGTACTCCTAGAAAGGCCAGTATTTGCTTTTGTTGCCAAAGGAATGCTAACTTCACCATGTAAGACTGTCTGTCTACAAACTCAACCCTGTATACTTCCAAGCTTTCATAGTACCATTGACATTTAGGAAAAAAGCTTGTTCCAGGCACTGTGGCACACACCAGTAATTGTGGCTACTTAGGAGACTGAGGCAGAAGGGTCACAAATTCAAGGCCAGCCTAGGTAAAGTAGACCATGACACAAATTACAAATTTAAAAAGAGCTGCGAGCATAGCTCAGTTGCAGAGTGTTAGCCTATAATTTGCAAGGATATGGACTGATCTTCAGTAATGCTAAAGAAAAAAAAGAGGAGAAAGAGGAGGAAGAAGAATGGGAGAAAAAACAGAAGGAGAGGAAGGAGAGGAGGAGAAGGGAGAAGGAGCTGGGAGAAGGAGTCTGATGATGGTAAGAAAGAAAAAGAAGAGGGGGAGAGATATTATGACCAAATTTTTGATAGTCTAAAGATCTGGGGGCAGTATCAGACCTCATGAGTTGAATAGTTGCGATCAGAGAGTCATTGGAGAGAATCTTGCAGATCCAAAGCTACCTACTGTCCTAATTGTCACCAAGGATATCGAGTTTGCGGAGTCACGTGTGTTTCACATGCAAAACACTGAGGATGAGGTCCCCATCATGTCCGCACTCCGGTCCTTCGGGAGTCCACCCTGACCACATAGGCACCACAGGCCTTTGCACTTCATTAGTTCCAACCCCACTCATCTCAGGAATCCTACACGCTTGTATATGAAATGGATAAGAAGTAAATAATAAATAAATGAAAACATTTGATAAGAATCACATAGTTGTGAGCAAAAAAAAAAAATCATGCCATAATGACCTATGCTCTGTTATTTACAAGGGATTTTCACTGGGCTCAGTTATCCCAAACAGTGTTATTTTCAACAAAGTCAAATCCCTTTGAAGCAATCACAAACTTCCAAAAGGTAAAATATAGCGACTGTGGATCCTTACTCAATTTGGTCTAGCCTGATTGCCAGTTAATCACTGAAGTACAAAATGTGTGCATGTGTGTGTTTTGGGAAGAGGTTGGGGGAGGTGGGCAGCAGGGGGCACAAAGAGAAGGAAGGGCAAACACATGGAATATTTTCACATTGACGAGGAGGGTTGTTTTGCTTCATCGTTTAGATTCTTGACCTGATATGACTGCGTTCTGGGTAATTACTGATCATCATAAATCGAGCGTTTTTGTAGTTCATTTAGAAATGGACTCACTAATTTTTGCTAATATAAAATATGCTTCTAAACTTCTATTTTCAAAGTCAAAAGATATGGCTCTTCTTCCCCAGTTGTATGTTTAATACATCATTTTCATTGCATTGTCACCCAGTTACAAGAAAGTATGAGATTTACAATAGAAGTGCTGGTCTCACAAAACATACTTTCCTGACTTCAGTATAAGTTTTAAAGTCAAAATCGCTGAGTTTTTCTATATTGGCTTTGATCAAACATTTCTGCTAAATTTCTGTCACTTCCTAAGTACAAGGGTAAAGGGACAAAATACCTCTTAGGAAATTTTTCATTAAAGGATTGGGTTGCCTTTGACCCACTCTTAAAATAAAGTTATCTTTCCTTCCACCAATGAATATTTACAACAGTAAATATGAACAGTTAAAATATCTCCTCTGGATGTGACTCTTACCTGCATCTCCTGACAAAAGGAGGCCAAGGGCCCAAAGAGAATCTGACACTGCTCGTCTGCTGTGTACGTCATCCCCGGCAGCTTGGAGGGAACCATCACGGAATTGACACTCTGTGGATTTGTCTGTAACAAGCAGCTGCTAGCCTTTGACCTGAAACAAGCACAAATGTGTGAAATTTTGAATTGCATGTAAAAATTATTATGATGCATTAGCACAGAAACAAGAAACATAAGAATTTCACTTTTACTATTTCTTAGAATCTCTCTTATTGAAACTGTCCTCATAGAAATTCTCCCTATTTGAAAATCATTTTGTCTTATTTAAGTAATCCTACTAAATAATAGTAACAATACTGTTCAAATTAACAGAACTCCTTTAATTTATAAAGGCTATGCATTTGAATAAACTCAGCCAACTTACATAAAACTATGTGGTGAGTATTATTTCTACGTATTTACAGGACATAGAAGCTCAAACGTACAGAAAAATTTGCCCAAATGCCATGTGTGCAGATAGATGTAATATGTGCGACTATACTTCAGGATTTAAAGAAATTATTCCCCACTGAGTATTAACAGTGTGAATATTTTTGTAGTTGACATAATACAACTTCCATTTAGGAAGTGGCATTTGATTTTATTATAGCCTAGATCCATGTGAAGACAGCCATACAAAATCCTGCATGCTCCTAGAACCATTTTCACTGGTCTCTACTAATGTAGTTACTGATGGTGTATTCCAATTATTACATAAGCTAAATGATATACTCCAGGGCCTGTCAAGCCAAAGAGCATGCAGAGGGTAGATTGCATATATTTCAGGACACATTTATGGTAATATAATAGACATATTTTAGTAGACTTCAATATCCATTTAATAGGAAAAATAATTTTAAAATTGTTCTGCCAATTTTAAATGCATGGGAAAATGAATGAAGTTCATCTCCGTACTAAATTTAGCTAACTAGGTGTTCCTACATTTCTTTACATCCCTAAAACATCTCTTTAACTCCTTTTTACATCACCTACAGCTCCCCCTTTGATTATCCCAGAGTTAAGAACAAAGGTTTAACAGGCAAGTTAGAACACCAGTAATATCTCTCATTTCTTTTTCCAACCAGACAGAAGTTAAGTATTACTGTTGATGAGCACATAAAAGAAGAGAAGATAATTGAGGACCGGGGATGTAGCTCATTGGTGCTGCCCTTGACTGGCAAGTACAAGGTCCTGAATTTGATCCCTGACACTGGAAAATAAAATTGAGATCAACCCTAATGGTGAAAATTACTTATTAATGAGGACACTGGTTAGGATTTAGAAGTGCCATATTGGAGAGTTGGAGATTTTGTTAAGGAGGCTCTAACGACAATAATAGATATGTTGGGTGGTAAGCAAACAGCTTATTTCAACTAGGAACACTGAAGACACAGTTAAATTCCATGGTAGATACTTTTTATCATTAGAACAATTTAAAATATTACAAATCATCCTGTCCATCCTTCCACTTGAGAAACGGGGAAACTAAGAGCAGGTAAGTTAAATAACATGTATCAACCCACACCGTGAGTTAAGAGAAAAGACAAAATTGGAGAGGCGGCCTTTCCACTTCGTCAGACTGTATTTCCTGGTTGGCAGAGAAGGCAGAGACGCAAAAACATTCACAGTGCAACAGTGAATGAGCTCATTAAGTACCTGAGAAATCTTTCCAAATCTTCTTTGCTACATGCGGACCATGAAACATCCCCGAGGTGTTGTCCCTTGACCCATTCACCAGACATGATATGAAGACCATCGGCACACGATGGGTGGTCATTGTCATGATGAATCCCCATGCTGATTCAGAGTGCAATTCAAATAAAAAGGCTTTTAATTAAGTAAATACTATGTAAGCTTTTCATTTTATAATTAAAATGGTTAAACTACTAAAAATAAATGGAAAGAAATTTGTTTTAAAGAAATTAGTTTCAAAACTATGCAGATTTAAGGTAAATATTTTTATTAATTAAAGAACATTTCCTTAATCTACCTACAAAACACATGTTTTAGGTCACCTATATCAAATTTATCTATAAAATTTTGACATATTAGTACACTAGATACGAAACATAGAATATATCTACACAAACAAACTAGCTCTTGCTCTCATCTGAATCAGTCTTTTTTCCACATCTCTGAAACTACACTGAGGTATTAACCATTCAGTGGGTCTGTCCTATGTGTTTCATTACACCATATTCTTCCTCCACCGCAGATGACGCCCACTGTCACTGGGAAACATTTCACTTCTTGGCCATGTTCATCTTAAGTTGAATTTTGTTCTAAAATGTGACATTGCTAAATGGATTTTTTAGAAGCCCCTTACATTCAGCATATTTAAAGACTGACCCTTTGCTCTCTCTTGCAAAACTCTATTTACTTTTGTATGATTTTCTCTCTTGATGTGTGTGTGTGTGTGTGTGTGTGTGTGCGTGATTTTTCTAATCTCTAATTTTTCCAAATAAAAAATGTTCAGGTCATCATTTGTTCCTTATCCCATATGACTATTCAGGTTATCTTACTTACTATGTGTTAGGGGCAAGCCCTGCCTATTCTTTCTAAGTGTTTATTACAATGGTTACCCTCTTTCTGTTTTTATTGTCAATCTTTTTTTTTTTTTTTTTTGGTACTGGGGATTGAACTCGGGTCCTTGCACTTGCAAGGCAGGTGGTGGAACCACAAAGCCAAATCCCATGCTGTATTGTCATTCTTAAAGAGGGATACAAAACACTCTTATTGTATAGGATTGACAATTACTATGGTATTCTAACTGGATTTTAATCTCTCCTGTCCCCTCCTTCTCCTACCCTGTCACACTGTGGTCTACTACAGTAAACTCTATGTCATTCCTCTACTTTCTCATCTGCTAAAAAGGCAGAAAGTTTGTTTTTTCACATGTGAAGGTTGAGATATTGGCAGCATAATCTGATATTCTCACGTCTCTCTTTACGATCTAGTGGCTCTTAGGTAAAATTGTCTTTCATAATTTATAATTTACAAAAATATCAACAGCATATTTTAAAACATCAGATTAAAAGAGTTGTTACCAAAGTTGCTAAGGAAAATCACAACTAGAACAGTATTTAGTTTTAGGTATTTTCAAATAAAAATAAAATTTTAAAGACTATCCAATTTCATTTTCATTAAGATAAATCAAATTTGTTATGAAAATGTTTGTTTTTGAAAGAAGACAGTGACATGGGAATAATAAATTATATCTGTATCAAATGAATTAACAGTAATGGACATTACTATGTCTGCTAACTTTGACTATGAAAATTCTAGACTAGATAAAACAAAAAATACTTTATGGAAAAAAACTATTCACTTTTAGTGTTAGAAAAATTTACTAGTGTATCATATTCTGATTTCCAATTGTAATTAGTGTTTCCAAATAGGGCCCGCATCAACACATATGAGAATAACACAGTAAGACTTTGAAGGTAATGAGGGAAACAGGAAATTGCATGGAATAAATGATAACTGATAGAATATCAGAGGAAAGAAAGAAAAGGTGTTGAAGAGTTTTAATCTCTGTATCTTCCACTTTTGCACGAGGACAGAGAGAAATTAATAATAAACTGGCTGGGGATTTAGCTCAGTGGTTCCACTGCCTGCCTCACAAGCACAAGGTCCTGAGTTTGATCCCCAGTAAAAAATAAATAAAATAACAATAATAATAATAATAATTAAGTGAACATGTCTTAGTCTGCTCATTTGCTAATACACTTTCCTGACTGATATCTTATGAATGCCTCATAAGGATGATATAAAGTGCCTGAAATATAGTAGAAATTCATTAAAGCTTCTTTACATTGGGGCAATAAGTCAGAGAAATTTCATTATGTCATTCTCATTTGTCAAAACACACAGAAAGATAAACTTACCATTAAGGTTAATTTGCTGGATAAGAAAAAACAAACAAAAAAAGATACGAATTACTTTGTTTAGGTATTAAATGAACACAAAAAATTGACACTATAGGATAATGTCACAAATTGATAAGGGTACATTAATGTATATCTGCCAGTTCCGTTGTGATACAGCCCTATTCAGAATCATTTTCCCATCTCCCCCCATGATCCTGGCTGCAGGATGTATGGATGAGCGATTTGTTAATTAATGACCATTTGTTAATTTGTTAATTAATGACCAAGCGAAACATGCTCAATTTTCCCATCACAGTTTTGCAGTTTCAGACTATACACTGCTGATACTATTTTTGAAAGGCAACTAGAGTTTTTCAGGAATCATAAAATTTCCTAAATAATCATATCACAGAGAAGTATGTGTACCCATGTTAAATGTAACTGTACTGTATCCCTAAAATGTACCAATAAACTCAATTAAAGCTGAAAAAAAAAACCTTCCTAAATAATACATCCATTCGAGAGAAGAAGGTCTGTTTCTAAGATTTAGCAATTTGGATGGTACCCAAAGGAGTATAATATAATTTTCCAGATTCGGAAGACTATAACCTCTCATCCACATGATCATTTTCCTTTTGGGATCCTGATTCTCATGTAAGAAATTAGCTTCAGCCACAGAGAGATCTGGTGATTCATGCATTGTTTACTATTAGTTAAATTTTCCTAAATCCACTTAACTTGTAACAGAAGAGATTATCATTACATCAGAGCAAGGTTTTCTTTTTTTCTTCTTCTTTCTAACAGCACATCTGGAATTATCAGGAGACACTGCTACATCCTGATCCTTACAGCTTTGAAATAAAACAATAAATTCTGAACATTTATCTGTGCCAGTCACTTTATTAGTCATTTATAATGATATCATTTACTCCTCTCCATATCCCCGTAATTTTTCCATTTTAATGACTTCTGCTTTACAGACGAAGAAGGCACTGAGATTAATGTTGGACTTGTGACCCAGACAAAGGCAGTGTGATGCTCAGACAGGTCTCTACACCATCCCCAATATAGTGTTTCTTTTTTTGAATCAACACCTGGCTCCCTGTTTTCCGAATAATTTTACATGTCTCTGACGCTCTAGCAGAAACACACCTCTTTATATACAGCTCTGTAATCAAGAAGACATATTGTATGGAAAACATTTTTGAGGTAAGACATTAGCAACACCTCTCTTAACATGGTGCAACTGAAGTACATTTTAATAATCTCGGTTTAAATTCATTTTGACAAAAAGCCTTGGGCAAATAAACTCTCCACTAACATTATACATGGTTGTCAAGTCAACTGCAAAAATATTTTTATCTTATAAAACTTCTCAACTTGTTTCAAAGTCCCTGCCAGGAAGTTTTGTGATATCCTGCGGAAAGCTGGAGAAGCACTTGGATTTTTGAAGATGGTCCCTTTTGATGTTGAAAGAGTCAGAGAACACTTATGAATTCACTCACATTTTTTGGATAATTTGGAAAGGATCTAATCTGTAAACAGTAATATTTTAAAAGAGGAGTTTTTTTCAGCTGACATTAGTATTTTTCATGACATAAAGTTTCCGACTAAAAGTCACATATTATGTGAAAAAATTAATAAAAGAAAGAAAAACTATCACAGCGTCTAACTAGAAGTGGATTGTATTTCCACAAAATGACATTTAATTGCATATATTTCAGTGGGTATGTCTGATCTGATATAATTCACTGCTGTGTACTTTTGACAAAAAAGGCATTATTTATTATAAGATATTTTTACATATTGTATTCCTTTTAAACTATTTTTATTTAAATAATTTAACTTATTTTAATATGCAAAAAAGTGAAATATGTGTTTCTATTAACATGTCAAAAGGGCATGAAAAGCAAGCCAGCAACAACGTAAAAAATGTAGTTTATAAAAAATAGAGGTGCAGAGAGCGATTCAGTTTGACTTCACTACGCATGAGATGGCACATTTGTCCAGCTATACCGTAGACACTTGCTAAGAATCCATTGTGTGGTTGTCCTGTGCAGGGCTGGGATCACAGAGGTGGATGAGAGTCAGTCTTTACCTTCCAAATACTTATCACTTACTGGGCTGAGAACACGCCACACCCTTGTGTGGCCAATGATGCCTGGACTCAGTTAGTCCTGCTTCTTACAGCTCTCCCTTCCACCCCATTGTACTGGCTGCTGCCAGTCCACACGGGCGCTGGTGTCTCCTCTCCTAGATTATCACACGTCTGCCTGCCTGACATCCTGGCCCTCAAGTCATCAGATTCTAATGATGCTGGTTTCTTCTGAATCCATCAATAGGAAAAGGCTAGTTTCCTACACAAAATCTTTAAAGTTCCCTGGAAGTAGAAAACAAAAAATATGAATAAGGACATTTACACTAAGATCATAGGGCATGCAGATGGCAAGAAAGACGCAGTGTCATGGGCTTTGTCGCCAACTGACTGCGAGAGAATATCTATGGATAAGGCCTACAAAGCTGCATTTTAGTACATTTGCTAGATGACAGCTATTTACTGAAAATTCTGAGAACCAGTAGGCTACAGATAAAATCCACTCTTTACCCCATTATTCAAAGCATCTGCAAACTGACATATCTAATTTTCTTTGGAACCGTTAATTCTAGCCTAGCCTTTTATATTGTTCATTTCTGTAAGAATGGTTTCTCCTATTAATTGATCCCTTACTGAAAGTTGAAGCCATTCTTCTTCTATAAAAGAATATTCAATAAATTCTATCCCATGTTTCTGATGACCCTTAACTTCTAAGCCTAAAACTATTTAGTATATAGGACACAAGACAACCACTTTATACTTAAGTAATATCTGTCAACGACCATTACGTACAGTATAATCATTCAAAAAACAAAATTGCCATTTAAAATATC